CAAAGTCGGAAAGGAAGGCAAGGTATATATGGTGTGCGTAAGGGTTTCGCTCTCTGTGTTGCTAACTTGCGCGGAATGTGCCAGCAGATCTGGGTCCTTGGTTTTTTCGAATCAACGGCCTAGATCTCCAGATTTTGAAAACCACAGGCGTACACATTCTCCTGGGTTCATGGTATCTGCTAAAATGCGCCATGCACGGGTGTGAGAAGATTCTAATGCATTTTTTCTCTTATGTTCTATGTACTTGCTCATGATTGGTGCCCGTGGATCATCACTAAATCATCGACTTTTTCCAGTTTATTTGGGTGAGTCCATAAATTCATTAGAATGATCAAAAACATCATTTTATTTCACTGTATACATTCAAAGATTCTTCTGATCTCATAAGATGTGTACGTGCAACTCACTTGAATCTAAGATTAGATCCTTCATCGGATTCTTATGTTCGACTGTTCAAATTTTTGTTATCAATACCCAGGGGGTTATGATAAAGAGGAGAAAGCAGCTAGAGCTTATGATCTTGCAGCTCTGAAGTATTGGGGTCCGACCACCACACCAATTTTCCTGTATGTTTGCATGTTACTCTCTCTCTCTCTCTCACGCGAGCGCGCGAGCCCGGACGCAAAAATTAGAGAATTCAGAAGCAAAAAAGCTGTTAATATCTGAGTCTGGCTAGTGAAACACCTCTTGGTAAATTTGACTAATTGGACTCTTGTTCGTTATGTGTTGAAGGTGAGTAACTATGAGAAGGAGCTTGAGGAGATGAAAAACATGACTAGGCAGGAATTTGTTGCTTCCCTTAGGAGGTACTGAAAATAATCGACTAGCTATTTTTGTGCTTGTTTGTGTGTGTGTGTGTTTCATATACTTTTGATTGAAATGTTTTATGAGTGTACATGCCAGCCATTTGACTCTTTTTTTTTTTTTTTTGGGTCTTTGAATGTCATTGCAGGAAAAGCAGTGGATTCTCTAGGGGAGCTTCTATCTATAGAGGAGTTACTAGGTTAATTGTTTGAGTTGGAAATTTATTTTGATGAATGTTTCTGTTTTCTAATTTATTTGTATATTTGATTTATTGACTTCTTTTTTGGTTTTTAAAATGTGCTTTTTAGGCACCATCAACATGGCCGCTGGCAGGCTAGGATAGGGAGAGTTGCAGGAAATAAAGATCTCTACCTTGGGACATTTAGTGAGTTTTGTTTACTCAGTTATTCAAATCCTCTCTTAATTATATCTCACTGCGCATACTTCATTTCTGTGTACTGTATTCTTTCTCTTTCTGCTATTTGCGAAGGGCAGAAAGTATATGCTTAATCGGAGAAACAGTTCTCAAAATCATTGTATATACGTACACATATATATTCAAACTAAGAGGAAAACCTAAATAAGCTGGGCTCCTCTATCCCTTCCACCCACACTCAAAAAAGGAAATAAATAACTAAGAGCTAGTCTCTTTTTAAATTGTACTCATGATATTGCTTAACGGACAATAAGGCACAACTTTTCATAAAATGGGTTAACAATTTCTTTGACCATGGCGACTACTTTGATCACTTGCAACGCATGCACATGGAAATTAATGCATGTTGTGGCATGTATTCTACTTATATTTTTCTTCTAGGTACTTGTCGACGTGACCCTTTTTCTTCGTTTTGTTGCTTTTCTTATTACTTTTATAGCATTTGATCGGATACTTGAGAAGAACTTGTTTCATGTATTTAGGCACCCAAGAAGAAGCCGCCGAGGCCTACGACATTGCGGCCATCAAGTTCCGGGGCCTAAATGCCGTGACCAACTTTGATATAAGCCGGTACGACGTGAAGAGCATTGCCAGCAGCAACCTCCCCGTCGGCGGGGTCAATGGCAAGTCAAAGACATCGTCAGACTCTGATGGAACGCGATCAGATGGCCGGGATGCACTGTCGGTGGCATCTCCGATCACCTTCGCATCGCCACGACCTCCTCCAACCTCCTCCTTAAGCTTTGCACTGCCCATGAAAAACGACCCGAGCGACTACTGGTCCATATTGGGCTACCAAAGTCCCCCCATGAACAACCCTAAGAGCCAAAATAATCTAAATCCGACTACTCTCTTCCAACCCTCGTCCTTCCAGGGTACGACTGCATTCAGCATGGAACTTTCCGGCACCCCTACCGTCACTACTGCAAACAACGGTGGGTTCAACGTGGAGAACACTATCCCTTTTGCCACACCCATTACCATAAGCAGCGGCAACAGTAGCTACGAAGGGTCCAATTTGGGCAACTGGGTTGCACCATCCCTTCATTCATTTCAGCCTGCAAAGCCAAACATATCAGCCTTTCAGACACCAATTTTTGGCATAGAATGATTAATGAAGAAGGCGGGAAGAGAGGTTAATGGTTAGGTCAAGTCTTGCTTTGAATAGGTGAAAGAAGGAAACTGACAGTGACTTCGTGGGAGAGGTGGTGGCAGAAATTGTGCACTAACTGTAGGTTCTTTCGTTATGGTCTTGTTCCCTTTTTTTCCTCTCTTTTCTTTAATTTGCTTCGCTTTTCCTCCTTTACTGACACTATTTATAGGGGCATAATGGGAAAGAAAATCTTTTGTGATCTTCCTCTGTGTGAAATTTCTTTCCTTTACGGCTTTTGCAGTAAATGCGGAACAATGTTTACACGTTGTATATTCTCCTCAGCCCAATGTACTCGACTCTTTCGCTTTGATGTTTACTGATTTTCCATGGGTTTTTTTCTGGGTGGAATTTCGCTTAGTGTTTGCTTTTGCACAAGCATATACACGACAGTATGCATGTATTAAGTGTGCGAGTACTGGACTTCTAAATGTTCCGTATATATGCCACCTTAAGTGGGCAGTGGGGTGGTTGATGTTGTATATCTAAATGCTTTACAAAATATTCATTAATCAATAAGCAAGCATTTTGTTTAATATATAGGTCAACACATGAGCTAGCAATTAAGACAAGATGGCACGGACATTGCTGCAAGATTTCCTCTTGATAGAACTAGTTAGCATTACTTAATTGTAAGGAATATTTTATTCTTTGTTGATAACAAAATACATATAATATAGATCATATAGTACTTGCTTTGCAGTGGCATGCATTGGTAAGTCGCGCATAGTTTTTGACTAAATGGGATTTTTCTTTCATAATGTGTGGAGTCAGAAATCCGGGGTTTCATATGGATTTTTTTGTATATTATTTAAAATGTGGACCCAATATTCATGGTGTTAAAATACCCATTCTGTCAGTAACCCTACTTCCTTTGATTAATATATTAAACTTTCATAATGAAGTACGCACTTAATATTCTATGGACAAGCAACCATTGAAAAGTGCTTATTAATTGCATAATACATTTTAAAGAGCGATTAAAATAAGGAAATGTTCAACGACTATGTAAGAGAGACAACACTGAGGAAAATAGGGATAGGGGTTGTGGGCTTGCGTTTGAATTGATTCTAGTTGGAAGACTACCAAATTGTATATACTGTTTGTAAAACCTTAGTTTTTATTTTCATTTTTGTAAAACAATTATTTTTATTTTTGGTCATTTGTCTCGTTGTGTCAGTGATATACGACTACACTTGGAAAAATCCATTATTCATGATAAAGAATTAATAAAAGAAAGCTAAGTCAAGGAGCATGAAGCGATAGTGCCAGGATGAAGAAATTCAATGGCAGACATTATGTTCATTAAGGCAAAATACCATCAGGGTAGTTAGATATATACTCATATAACTAGACTTTCTTTACCTTCAGTATATGTCACATAGAAGTGTGTACACGTCATTTGAAGACACAAATACAAGATGCGTGCTCAAAAATAAAAGTTTCCTAAAATAGTAATTCTTTTTGGAAGGATAAAATAGTAATTTTATAAGATGCAATATATATATAACACCGAATTTTAACATAAGATATGGGTCATACGTATTATTAAACTTAAATCTGATATTGACTTAAGCTATAAGATAACTCAAAATTAAATTCTACTACAAAAGGATAAGATTGTGAGGTTGAGTTTTACGTAATCCAATCCTATATAAACCCCTAAATTTGAAACGAATAGCATTCAAATCGGACCAACCCAAAATCCAATGGGGACTCGACACATTTCAACCACTAATTGGCGGCATCATTCTTAATCTTCAGAGTTATACGGTTGGCGGCCATAATGTGAAAAGGAGAATTATAAGTAAAAACCACGTAGTTGGCTTTTGCTTTTTCGAAATAATGGATAGAATTTGTGGCATCGTAAAGGCAGAAAGTTATCTCTTGCCATGATTAAAATGACAAACTTAACGTGGGGGCCTTTTTTTCCCAAGTAAAAGCTAAGAACAAAGTAGAATCAGAGAGAGAATAGAAGCAAATGTTGGTCCTTACGGATCGATGCAAACAAATTGAAAAGAAAGTAGGACACCAAAAAGGTCCTTAACCACAAAGCAGTGGGGCCGTTCTTGACCAAAAGTGAGACAAAAATTTTAAGAGGAGAATGCTTTACTTTTGATATTCAAGAAAGATAAAAACAAAGAGAGGAAGGAGAGAGAAAGAAAAAGATTATAAGCTTAAATAAAGATTAAGAGTCGGGGGAGGGGTAGTGTAGAGGCCATCTAATCTAAGGGCGGATCTTTTTGGAGTTTATTTGCTTGTTTAAGGACATCTGAGATTCATTTCAAATCATGTCTTTTCTTGCCTTCTGTCCCCTCTGTATCTCTCTCTCTCTCTCGTGTGATTGATTGTCTTCTGTACCTTTCGGCGCGTCTTAGATCCCTCTCCACTATCATCCCTCATCTTTGACCACTTCACTTTTCTTTGACTCAATCTCTTGCATATATTTACATATATCGTAAGTAATTTTGGGAAATTAGTTGGGAACATGTTTCGAGTTTCTTCTCCGTTAATAATTAAATTTAACGTTAAATTTATACAATTTTATATGACCGACATGTTATTTGTAAATTTCATTATTATATAATGTAGCTGCATTCTATATTTTAACATTCATCTAAAAGGAGAAATAATTTGGTTTGAAGATTGAGTTTTTTTAAATTAATTTTTTCTGATTTTGTGTGTAATAAATTATTGAAACGCAAAACATAAATATGTTATTCATATTTAATTTCTTGTTCATACTTGATGTTTTTTACGTTGTTAATTCAAAACAAGCAAAATGAAATTAGATTAAAAAATAATGGATAAGTTTCTTTAACCACAAAGTTGGAATTCTTTAGTAAACATTTTCTGTTCAAAAAACGGAGCTGTCTTATGAGTTTTACGTGCAGTTTATATAATTGAAAATTAAAAAAACAATTAAAAGCAGAGTTTGAGAAGCTAATTTTATATCTTAAAGATAAAAATGGTCTAAGAATTTTGAGATTAAATGAGATTTGGAAGAAAAAAATTTCTCAAAATCTGGAAATTAGCGGTGTAATTAGAATATCCTCCAATCTTGTGACCTATCAATCTTGACTTCCTGGCACAAGAACGATGAATACACAGGGGCCTGATCTACCAAATTTTAAGTGTATGGTTTTGTCTGTTTGTTTTCATGTTTTTCAAAAAATAAATGTGCATAAGAAAATTTGTTCTCACCTATTTTTTCCATGTCAAAATGTAACAACCTGATATTATTGATCATAACAATTTGTTAAACTTGAATTATTGGTCCAAAATACTTAAATTCAAATTATTCAGTAATAGTTTCTAATCTCTTGTAAGCTCAAGATCTTTCCTATATTTTATCGACGTGGGATTCTTTTAAGGATGTCACACACACTCCTTTTAAAATGTCACATACACCCCCTCCTATTTAGGACTCAGCGAGAACTTCTCTTTGGGATATCATACAAAAAACTTGTAATATTTCAAAATCATTTTATTCCAACACTAAATGGATTAGAAACCAAGTTACATTTTGCTTGTACTTTTCTATTGATTGTTTTTTAATGTAAACAATGATAATGTACTTTATCTATCTCTCACCCGTGTTACATTGTTACTCTATAAGATACCCTTTGCAATTAGAGCGGTTGATTATATTAATGATTTATAAACTCATTATTTGTCCCACAAATACCTTTATACAAATTAATTAAAGCCAATAATGTTTTCACAAATAAGAAAATTGGATTTCTTCTTCTTTTTTTTTGTAACGGTGTCCTAAGCGCATTGTATATCTTATTCCATTTTGCTATTTAAGTTAAATTTTAAGTATAAAAGAACCAAATATGCTTTTCTTCTTTTTTGGAAAGCAAAAGATATGCTATTCATACATGAGATGAACCTTTACAATTGCCGAAGGAAAGATCT